CAAAAGACTGGAAACAACTGAAATGTATATTAGTTACAATCAGGCTAAATAAGTACAATGGAATATCCTGTGGGTGTTTAAAAGAACCATGAAGTTTTCTTGGTACTAATATTTATTATTTTCCCCCAGATCCTTCAATTTGTTTGACAAAGAATCTTGACTGAACAGTTCACACATCAGCCCACTAAAAATGGTCTCTTCTATTTTTTTTTAAATGGATCTTGTGCTCACCTATCCATTAGCAAGTGAATACAACTATGTCCACTTCATTCATAACACAGGCATATTAAGACTCATCTCATTGGGAAGTCAATAATTAAAGGATACAAAACTGTGACTGGCACATAGGGGCAAATAAATGTTAATGATTACCATCGTCATTACCCTGGGGTTTTCCAGATTTTTTTTTAAGACTGTTATCCTGCTATTAGGTATAAATGGACTATCACGTCAATGAGAGAAAACAATTCATATGCCTATTTCAAAGCCAAACCCATACTCTCACCTTTGGTTAACTCACTTATTGGTGGAAGATTACACAATTGAGATCTTTTTAAATGAAGACCTTTTCTTCTTTAAAATGTTATTTAAAAGCAGCATATGTGTGATTTCTTTGAAGTTTTACGATGTTTTTACTATGACTAACAAAAGAACCCAGAACACTGACATTTGCTTCTTCTAAATTCCATGAATTTATTTTCAAAAGACACATGAAATATTTATGTTGCTTTACTTTCACCACCAAAATCAATAATAGCCAAGGTCAGGCATCATGTTCCAACTACAATGGACTGTTATCTAACCTGCCTAAAATGAGATGATTCTAAGGTCCAATTGCATTAGGTATCCTTTGGCCCATACTTATATCAGGTGTGTGAGTACAGTCTCTAAAAAAGTTTTCTTGAGAACCAAAATTCTGCCTTGCATTGTCTGCCAAGCTTTGTAGGTTTCCCCTAATTAATTTCCTGGGGGTGACTGAGAACATGAGTACCCTATAAAACTGAGAAGCAGCACTGATTCAGAAGAAGGAAAATGGGTCCCATAAAGAATAAGCTGAAGAACTGGAAATGCAACTCATCATAGTAGACAAGAGTTCCGTGGTGGGTCCTCTAACAATTAAGAGGAGCAAGTTTCACTGGCAAACTTGGAACGGCCAAAAATGATGCAGAAGAAAAAAATTAATAAGCAAGGCAGTCAAACTGAAAGAACTGGTATTTCAGTTGAACACAGCGAGGTTGTACAGATGACCAGAAACATACACTAACCAACAGCAAGACATTTAAAACTGAAGGTGAGACAGCATTTTGAGGAGCGTTGTTGTTCTTTTCTTTTTTGAATGAAATGGATTTTCAGAAAAAAAAAACTTAAAAGAATTTTCAACCAAGTATAAATTGTAATCATCACCAAATGAGAGAGATGACTTTTATATTTTAATTAATATATTTATTTACTGTTTACCTATACTGTATGTGGCAAACTTTCTCTAATAGAAAACATACTTCTTTTATTTTGGGTTACAAGATTTTTTTTTTTGAAACCAAACTGGAAATCAGCCAATCAGTTGTAGATATGGGATGATCTATGATAATATCTGTAGATATATAAACTCCCCTAATTGACTCAGGGTCCTCAGGAATGAGACTTTATCTTATTGTTCCTTGGAACCCTTGCATCTGAAATATAAGCTACATGTATTAAGAAATGCTTAGTAAACAAATTCTGGATCCACAGGACAGTGCAAAAGTGTCTGGGTTCCTTCTCCAGCATCCAATCAGACTTGCTTGGGCAGCCTCCTTTCTATGAGTGGTCACCTTGCTGGGCATATGCTGGTCCCCCTTAAAATATGCATTAACCTACATGACAGCTTAAAGTCCCTTGTTACTAAAATCTTCCTGTAAGTTCTTTGTCTCCACCCCACCCCAACCTAGCTCTTCTCCTTTCAGTATTGCCCATTGCTGCATTGTTTTGCTAGACTCCTCAGAAAAAGTTGTAAGAAACACCACGAAAACAGTCCCTCTGCATTTTTTGTAGTGATGTCCAGTTCATGCCAACACTTTAAGGTAACCCAGGGGGAAAGGTGTCTCAGATCTCAGTACCAGTAAAGTAACTACTTCTCAAAGTAAGTAACACATTTTAATTTTATAAGCACTAGAGTTCTTATAATTGGTCTTCTCTCTGCATAAAACTGAGAAGCAAATGAGCAGGCCTCCTTCAGTAACTTCATAGGACCTGTAACACACATGCCTGCAAGCTAACGTCTTCTTGGTTTCCCTGATCTTTCTTTCCTCCCTCTACATGACCTTGCTTTATCTTTTGGGTTTTTCTTTTTTTCTCTCTCTCTCTAGATCAAATTTAATTTGTATTTTTAGAAGTCGTTTGGGATGAAGCAGGGGTACAAACAAAGCAACAACCCAAAAGTTAAATAATACCCTCACCAATTCCAAGTTTGCTTTAGATCTTTCACACATATAACTTGCCTACAGCACAATAAAATAAAATGCAGCACCACTCTTCTTGCTGCATCAACTAGGGGGCGACCATCCCAGACACAGTGACCAGAGATGGCTGAGAGCCAGAAGTCCCTTCCTTTCCACTTCCTGCCCATCAGCTAAGACATATACATGGCCACTCACTTGAATGGTTACCTATGACTTATGGCATCTTGGCTAAGTGCACAGATTCTGGAGTCATACCACTTGGGTTCTAAACTTACCTGGTATACCCACCACCACCACCCAGCTGCTGGCTTTAAACAAGTTAACTAACCTTTCTGTGCCTTATTTCCCCACCTGTGCAATGGGACCAAAAATGGTAGTGACCTCATAAGGTTGTTGAGAGGAGTGAATAAACTAAACATGTAGAAGGGATGAGACCAGTAGTGCTCACCTCACAGTAAATGTGGGACACCTCTATTTTCAAGTTACCCAGCACATAGTTTCAAGTCTGAGTGACACTAATATTTGTCATTGTAAATTATTTAAACCAAAAAAAAAAAAAAGTTTTTTTTACTGATGGGGATCAAACCCAGGGCCTTATATATGGTAGACAAAAGCCCTAACACTGTTCTACACCTCCCACCCACCTTTATGGTAACCTTATTTATGTTTGGGTCTCATTTATAAATTAGTGTGGTGTTAAAGTAAAATTCAAATAGCAGGGCCAGGTATGGTGGTCTATGCCTATAATCCCTGCTACTCAGGAGGTAAAGATTGGGAGGATCATGGTTGGAGGCCAGCCCAGGCAACAAAGTTAGGAAGATTCCATCTCAAACAATAAACTGAGTGTGGTAATTCATGTCTGTGATCCCAGATATGTGGAAGAAGGCATAGCTAGAAAGACTGCAGTGAAGGCCAGAACCTGGCAAAAACACAAGCCCTTATTTGAAAAATAAGTAAAGCAAAAAAGGGCTGGGTGAGTGGCTCAAGTGGTCAAACAATAAAAATGGTTCCTGGTAGTGTATCCCAGTTGGTAACAAGATGATCCCTAAACCACACCCAAGGGTGCATGAATTCCCACGTTCACAATCACGTGCGCGCACGCACACACACGCACACACATTCCTGTCCTGACCCTACGGTTGTGACACAGACTTCACTTAATGTGTCTGGAGGGATGAAAACCCCTTACACTGCCTCCCAGGACATTCTTTAAAATAAAACTTTGTTTAGCCATCAAAGAACACTAAGCTTTGTTGAATACTTAAGGTCCTGACTTATATTAGAGTTCAGAAAGCTGCCTCCTCATACGTACACATTTTAATCACGAACTTCTCAGATTCCACATTTAACACAGCCCCTAACCACGCCCCACCTCCTCTTAAGACGGAGCCAGTCTCAGCCACTTCCTTCACACGCAGCCGATCAAAATTTAAGTCCCCGGTAAGTATTTCACATGTGTGAATACGTACATTATTTCCAAAAACGGGGACTCAATCTTGCCACTATGCGATCGCAAAGAAAGGTGGACAATTAGGAAAGCTTTGGTGGTTGACAAGCTTGAAAAATCAAGAGAAAAGTTTAATCACTAAAATTTATCTCCCAACGAAAGTTACTTCAACATTGACGCAAACGAATTAAGTATCAGCCATTGCAATACCAAAGTTACCCGAGATGGGAAGAAAAAAAAACCCTGAGAGTTCATCAGTCATCGGATCTCCCATTTCCTACGTTTCCCACCATCACCTACATATCCAAATGAATGCACCTAAGCGTTTATTACGGTAGTGAACTGAAATGCATCTGTCCCCTTAAATTCTCTTGTTTCACGGTATCACAGAAAATATTCGAACTGCAGAGTAAAAAATGAGCGAGGAGTATCAGCCAAGAGCACCGCTTTGAGGAAAGCCGCCTTCTCGCCCCTACAAGTTCTGCACGCCAGTCATCGCCGGAGCAGAGGCAAAGGACGTGGATTGCACGTGACACCCCAATAGTCACAGCCGAGATTACTCTGTGTCCCCAGGAGCACGGGTACAGACTCCCCTAAAGTCTCTCCCCAAGATCCCGAGGTTAATTTCAAACATTCCTCTCCCTAAAAGCCCCGAAAGAGGCTAGCTAGCCAACCCCACCCAGCGAGCAGCGCACTTCCCGTTCGCGGTGGCGGGTCAAGAACTCTAACTTGACAGTGACACACCGAGAAAAGAGGAAGTGGCTGAACACCATTTCAAGACATATTTATTTCATTTTTTTAAAAGACAGATCAATGGCCCTGTCCTCCCGGAAAGCTTCAGGGGGATGTTACCATCACCCCCGGCGAAAAGTTGCGGCGAATGTCAAATGCTGCAAACTCAAAGACAACTCCTTTACAACTAGATTTAAAAAAAAAAAAATTATCGAAATGCTGTTGCTATCAGAAGCAATCTCTCCTCTGTAGCGAAAGCCACCAGGCTCCGAGCTCCCATCCGAATGCGAAACGAGGCCGGGTCGATGGCCGGTGCGCCCTGCCCGTGGAGAGGAGGCGCGGGGTACCGCGGCGGCCGGGAGCCTGGCAAGCGCAGCTCTTACCTGGTTTGACTGGTTTGGGAGGCGGCTTCGACATCTCGCTTCCTTGAGCGGCTCCTAGAGACCGCACACCGAAAGTCAACGATCACCCCTTCAGCTCGCACTTCGGGCACCCCAAAGTTTCCTTTTGGTCTGGGGTACAAGGGGCGCGCCGGCCTCCAAAGAGCTGCGCCCACCCCCGGCTGCGCAAAGCGCCGACTCAGGCCGAGAGGCTCGGCTGAGTGCCCCGCCCCGCCCCGCGGCCGCCCGAACCTTCCCGAGCGCGCTCCGAGACGACGAGGAAGTGGCCGCCACCTCCCCAAGCGCTGATTGGCTCCCGGGATGGCCGCTTCGCCGCGGCGGGGACGCGGGTGGCGCGCACGGCGGCGGAACCAGCGGGAGCAGAGCGGGGGCGCTAGGGACGGCCTGGATGCGCGCCCCCGACGGGAAAGGGCCGGGCCTAGCAGGGGCGTGCGCGCGGACCTTTGCGCGCCGGAGCCCCGCCCCACCCCGACCCAATGGGGACTGGAACCCCATACCTAGCGGCGGTCAGTGGCGCGTTTAGTGTCAAGCGAGCGCTGGGCCTTCTCTGCGGCTTTGGTTGGGAAGATCGAATTGGCCCCAGGTGAGTCTGTCTGCACCGTGCAGCCTCGCTGGGGCCTGGAGATGTTTCCAGAGGATTCTTGAGCTGCAGCCTGTACCTGGTTACGTCTGGGAAGCGCTATGGGGACTCTGCCCCTAAACCCGGCGGGACGTGTGCTCATGTTGGCCTAAGTAATCCCTAAAGTGCTACCGCCAAGAGATCACGCATTTGTTGGGAAAAGTGACCAGGAAGGGACAGATTCAGGTCGTGATCCTCACGGGAGGGGTTGGCAGATTACAGTCCACCTGCCGCCTGTTTTCATTGTACTGCCTTCCAAGAACTTTGGGGAGGTTGGGGTTTTGTTTTGTTTTGTTTTTCTGCTTTTTTAATGGCTGACGAAACAGCAAAAGAATAGAATTTTGCAGCATGTGAAAATTATATGAAATTCAGATTTCAGTGCCCATAAAGTTTTATTAGAAGATGGTCATGCTCGTTTGCTTATGTATTATCTTGTGGCTGTTTTCTTGGTCCAACCACTGAATTGAGCAGCTGCCCACAAAGCCGAAAATAGTTACTCTTCGGCACTTTACTGTTTGCCCAACCTTGACCTAGCAGATTGAGTCTCATGGGAGGATAGGGTTGGAGCATACAAGAAAGGCAGCATGTATAAACTCAAAATGTCATAGTCAATACTATAAACCTATTGTATATTTAGGGAAACAAAAGTTGAGATGAAAATACTGTTTACCTAAAATGAAACCTCGAAGTTTCTACTAGAGGTTGGTTTAAAAAAAAAAAGTGGGGGTGGGGGCAGGGGGGAGAAATGACCCAAGCCTTGTATGCACATATGAATAATAAAAGAAAAAAAAGTGACTAATAAAGAAGGGGCATGGATTAAGTTGTCAGAAACTCTAGCCTTAGGAGATTTCTGTGTTTACAAAAAGAGAGCAAGATTACATAAGTAGGAAGAGACTGCCCTGTTTTGTGTAAGAATAGTAAGAAAACCTGTTGTATAGTCTCTTTTTAAAATATCAGACTGCTCTTTAGATGCATTTGAAAACTACATTTTGTTTGCAGTTGTGTCTTTCAGGCTATTTCTGTGTGAGCATCTGCTGACTCATGACATGTCCCATGGGACCATTCTGTAGTTTTAGAACCCAAAATGCCCCATGTTTAATAATAACCATAAAACATATGCCAATTATGAAGAAAAGACCCAACATTTTATTTAGGGTAAAACAAAAGTGTAGGAAAGTTAGAATGAGTCATTTAGAGTTTGCTCTTGACTATCCTATCTGCTCTCCTCCCCATATGCAAATGCTCTCTGCTGTGGAAGAAAGCTTGCCTCCCACACTGGGAAATGGAAGGGAATACTGGTCCCCATCCTAACTGGGAAAATAAACTGGGTAACTATTCCATGAGCGCAAAAGACATATGCCTTAGAGAAGTCAAGCTTGGTGGCTCATGACAGTATTCCCAGCACTCAGACAACTGAGGCAAGATTTCAAGTTCAAGACCAGCCTGGGCTACATAATGAGACCCTGTCTTAAAAAAAAAAAAAAAAAGAAAAGAAAAGAAAAGAAAAAGTCCTTGTGATAGGATGTCCTGAGTTGATGATACTGGAAAGTTCAGAAAGTTTCCTTGGAGACATCATATAATTTAGTTTGTAGTTGATCAAAGTTATATTTGCTTCATAAAGTCTGCTGCTACATTTATTTGAAGCCTGGCAACCCTTGATTGTAAACTTTTTAAGTTTGGTTTTTAAGTGGTTTTCAAAGAGGGCAGCAGACAATGAGATAAATAGCATGTGATGTGGAGGTCAATAGTGCCAGGCCCAAACTTGGCGTTCCCGTGAATATGCCCTGTGCGTCCAACGCTGCTTTTGAATAGATGGTGTTGGGAATTGCTAGACCCACTCCCCACCTCATCCACCTGCTTTGTTTCTACACATCCCAGCTCTCTACCCCCTCCCACATTGTCACCTGCTCATTGCTAATGAGATATACCTACCATATACCCAACCGCTGCCTTGGACAGGGCCCAGACTGCTAACTGATACAGAGCTGGGGGTGCTGGTTTTGATTTTTAAAAACAAATAAAAATTTGCATTTGACTGTGGGATTCCACTTCCCACCTGAAGGATTTTATAAGTAGGTTCTTGACTCCATCTCATTCTTCGTTTCTGAATTGCAAGAGTTTCCACCCAAGTAACTCTCAATACTATTTCTAGAGCTATACCCACACTCACTCATTATTTACATGCTATGTAACTGATACAAGTAGCCTCATGTGTATGCACAGATGTACCATTTAAGATAGGGGACCTGTAGTCCTTTCTGTTCCCTGTGCCTAGCAGATATATGCCCCATCAATAATGCAATAAGAATATCATCAATTATACATCAATTCAGCTAGCACACATACAACATCCTTTCTGTGCTTTCGGTAATAAAGAGCTTTGCAGTAGATGGGAGTGATGGAAAGATGTTCACTGAATTGATTTAGTTTCAGTTTGGCTTTTCTGTGTACTAGCTGTATGACCTCGGGCTCTGTCATTCCAGTCTGGGCCAGTTTCTACTTCTGCTAAATGCAGGGATGGACTAAGTGATTTCTAAGACTGTATGTCTACCATGCTTAAGAATTTATAGTATAATGAACTATCAAAAAATAGATGAGGATCAGTGTATTATCCACCTTTCCACTGATATGACAAATTATCTTGAGAAAATCAACTCAAAGGAAGAAAGATTTATTTTTGCTCACAGTTTGAGAGGTTTCATTCCAATTGTCACTTGATTCACTTGTTTCTGAACCTGTGGTGAAGGAGAGCATCGTGGTACGAAGTATGTAGTAGAGCAAAGCAGCTTGCCTCACAGTGGCAGAGAGAGAGAGAGAGAGAGAGAAGGGAAGAGAGAGAGGACAGAGAGAGAATACCAGGGCCAAAATATGCTCTTTAAGGGCATACCTCCAGTGACCTACTTCTCCAACTAGGTCCCACCTCCTAAAGCTTCCGCCCCACCTCCTGATAACCCATTAAGCTATGAATCTATCAATGAATTAATCCATGAAGTCAGAGCCCTTATGATTCAATCACCTCCCAAGGCCCCCTTTTCAAATGGTGCTTCATTACCCACCAAGCCTTAAAAGAATGAGAATTTTTGGGTTTTTTTGTTTTTTACAGTACAGGTGTTTGAACTCAGGGTCTGCACCTTGAACCACTCCACCAACCCTTTTTTGTGATTTTTTTTTTTTTTTTTTTTTTTTTTTGAGATAGGGCCTCTTGAGCTATTTGCCCAGGCTGGCTTCAAACTGTGATCCTACTGATCTCTGCCTCCTGAGTAGCTAGGACTACAAGTGTGAGCCACCAGTGCCCAGTAAGAAAATTTTTTATGAGTTTTATTTTGCTAAGTGAAGGCACCAATCTGACAACATAATTTCAAAGAGAAAACAAACATTTGTCACAAACAGGCAAGGAAGATACCATCTTAGAATAAAGGCCAGCCTATCCCTTCCCCCAAGAAAGAGTAGTTGGCAGCTTTGCACTACCATAATGGGTCACTGAATCTGCAGGTCAAAGATGCAAAGGTGACCTGGCTAAGGAAAGTCTGAAACTTTCCTATGACCTCATAATCTTTCCACACCCCTGGAAACAAAATAGTTCAAAGGTATGAGCTTGGCCATGAGGACCTCCTCAGTTCAGTTGATCTTAGCCAACACCAGCTGTTGGCACTTTGCAGTGACAGGTCGGCAGGAAGCTCTCTTACAACAGGGGTATGTGGGGCTGGGGTAACCCAGCCATCACTGTCATCTTCCCCCCTCAAGTGGCACTTTTAATCAAAACTCCTTCTTTTTCCTCTCTAGACTTCTAAATGATATGTGTTTGATTTTCTTTGATCTTAGGAAATATTAGGAAGACGTGATCTTTAACGCTAATTATGAAAACGTTTGTCATTGGAATTGGTGGGTAAGTAGTTTTGCTACAAACAGCAGAAGATACTCAAGATTTCCAAATGGTGTTTTCCTGTGGACATGGTGGGGGAAAGAGAAGCAGCTTCTACTACTCAGAAGCTCAGCGGTGTCACCAAAGACAGTTTTTCCTTCTCTTCTCTTTGCTTTCCTTTGTTTACATTCATCCTAGTGTTGTCCTCCTTTTTGATCACAAGGGACTATAAGCAGCCTCTTGTGATTTCATGCTTCTTTATAGCATGTCACAAGGGGAAAAAAGTGATTTCTCTTTCTCTAGGTCATGGATCTCCCTTTGACTGGGCCAGCCTGGTACATATACCCTCAGCCACCATGGCAAAAGGGATGGGATTGCATTGATTGGTTTAGGCCAGCGGGGCCTTGTTGTGGAGTTGAAAGTAGAGTCAGCCCCAAGTAGACCTCAAAAAGAAGCATGGAACCTGGGGAGGCAATCATACAGTCAACTACAGGATCCAGTCTGACTTTCCTTTTTCATGTGTGTAAATAAAATTTCCCTCTTCTCAATGTTCCAATTCAGTGCCCACTGTCTAGAAACTGGCCTTGTGCATCAGGTAATACCTATAACTCCCTGAGAAAGCCTCCTTCCCACTATTTCTTTAGCAAGTGTCATGATTTCATCTAGTGCTGCTGATTCTGTGAAGCCCCTGCCATGCCCAACTGCAAGGACCTCTGTCCTGCCTTCCATCTTTTCTCCAGACCCACTGCACCACAGCTGTCCTGTGTGCTTATACACTTGCTGCCCTATGAAGTTGTCATTCAGCTGAGATTGCAAGGTATTCTGGAGGAATTCTAGGGACCCATGAACCTCCCAAATATTTAATACATATGTGAAGATACTCATTTGGGAGAAGTAGGTTTGTTTCATTTTGGTAATGGGTATTGAACCCAGGGCTTTGAGCATGTTGCTGAGCCAATCCCTCAGCCCCTGAGGAAAGGACTTATAACCTCCATCAGATTCTCAAAGATCCATGCTAGAGTTAGACTTTGTATCCTATCTCCATCACTTAATAGTCTTTGACTGGAACAAGTTTTATTAGTAACCTTTTTTTTTTTTTTTGCAGTACTGGGTGTTGAACTCAGGGCCTACACCTTGAGCCACTTCACCATCCCTTTTTTGTGTGTGTGAAGAGTCTTTTCGAGATAGGGTCTTGCAAACTATTTGCCGGGGCTGGCTCAATCCTCCTGCTCTTTGCCTCCTGAGTAGCTAGAATTACTAGCACCCAGCTAGTAAACAACTTTTCAGTCCTTAGTTTCCTCAACTGGAATATGGGAATATTGCTACCAACCTGTTGCAAAATGGATTCTGCCCTTGTTTGAGTAGTTTGAAACATTCTTTTTAACTTCTCCCTAGCCTGCTGTCATGTTCCAAATAAGCTGGGTCTTCTTGCTACCTGACACATAAAAAAATAACCAAACCAGGAGATGTACATATGTTTGGATATTGTTAACAAAGATGGGAGATGTACCAAATAGTCACTCATTTTCCTTCCTCAGATCCAAGGATGAGTATGCTCTAGGGACTCTTCCCCTTGGACTAGATAGCATGTGAGTGGGAAGTAGGTCATGAAGATTCAGGAGGAAGAAGGGCTGAGTCCCAAGGTGTCACCTGACCAGGATGGCTGTGTTTCAAGTGTAGATCCTAGGCTCAGACTTTCACTGGTCTTGTCTTGTTTGTGGTGCTGGAGATAAAACCCAACACCTTGCACGTGCTAGGCAAGTACTGTACCTCTGAGCTATACCTTGGCCAGGCTTGGGCTTTTAAATGCTTTTTCTTCTCCTCTCCTCTATTACTTACTGTCTCCTAGCCTATCTCTTATAAGAATCACATAAAAAAGGAGCACTTATTTCTCATTGGCTCCAGTTAAGTCTCAGATGGGATATAATTAATGTTAGTCCAACTGCATGATCTTAATAAAAGAGGTAAGTTTAGAAGATAACCAGATTGTTCAGACTGTAATAAAGTTACCCCTGTTTAACTAATTGAAACCAAAACTTTGAAAATATGGACTTTCAAGGTGGTTTACAGGCTTTCTTTGTTTTTTTTTTCTTTTTTTGAGTCAGGTTCTCACTAGGTAGCCCAGGCTAGCCTCAAACACCAGACTCCTCCACTTGATCATCTCAATAGATGCAGAAAATCCTTTGATAAGATCCAACACCATTTCATGATAAAAGCTCTAAGAAAACTAGGAATAGAAGGAAAGTACCTCAACATTAAAAGCTATATATGACAAACCTACATCCAGCATTATACTTAATGGAGAAAAACTGAAACCATTCCCTCTAAAATCAGGAACTAGACAAGGATGCCCACAATCTCCACTCCCATTCAACATAGTACTGGAATTCCTAGCCAGAGCAATTAGGCAAGAAGAAGGAATAAAAGGAATACAAATAGGTAAAGAAACTGTCAAAATATCCCTATTTGCAGATGACATGATCCTATAACTTAAAGACCCAAAAAACTCAACTCAGAAGCTTCTAGACATCATCAATAGCTATAGCAAGGTAGCAGGATATAAAATCAACATAGAAAAATCATTAGCATTTCTATACACTAACAATGAGCAAACTGAAAAAGAATGTATGAAAACAATTCCATTTACAATAGCCTCAAAAAAAATCAAATACCTAGGTGTAAACCTAACAAAAGATGTGAAAGACCTCTACAAGGAAAACTATACACTTCTGAAGAAAGAGATTGAGGAAGACTATAGAAAGTGGAGAGATCTCCCATGCTCATGGATTGGTAGAATCAACATAGTAAAAATGTCGATACTCCCAAAAGTAATCTACATGTTTAATGCAATTCCCATCAAAATTTCAATGACATTCATTAACGAGATCGAAAAATCTACCGTGAAATTTATATGGAAACACAAGAGGCCACAAATAGCCAAGGCAATACTCAGTCAAAAGAACAATGCTGGAGGTATCACAATACCTGACTTCAAACTATATTACAAAGCAATAACAATAAAAACAGCATGGTACTAGCACAAAAACAGACATGAAGACCAGTGGAACAGAATAGAGGACCCAGATATGAAGCCAAACAACTATAACCAACTTGTCTTTGACAAAGGAGCTAAAAATATACGATGGAGAAATAGCAGCCTCTTCAACAAAAACTGCTGGGAAAACTGGTTAGCAGTCTGCAAAAAACTGAAACTAGATCCATGTATATCACCCTATACCAAGATTAACTCAAAATGGATCAAGGATCTTAATATCAGACCACAAACTCTAAAGTTGATACAGGAAAGAGTAGGAAATACTCTGGAGTTAGTAGGTATAGGTAAGAACTTTCTCAACGAAACCCCAGCAGCACAGCAACTAAGAGATAGCATAATAAATGGGACCTCATAAAACTAAAAAAGCTTCTGTTCATCAAAAGAAATGGTCTCTAAACTGAAGAGAACACCCACAGAGTGGGAGAAAATATTTGCCAGCTATACATCAGACAAAGGACTGATAACCAGAATATATAGGGAACTTAAAAAACTAAATTCTCCCAAAACTAATGAACCAATAAAGAAATGGGCAAGTGAACTAAACAGAACTTTCTCAAAAAGAAGAAATTCAAATGGCCAAAAAAACACATGAAAAAATGCTCACCATCTCTAGCAATAAAGGAAATGCAAATTAAAACCACACTAAGATTCCACCTCACCCCTGTTAGAATAGCCATCATCAGCAACACCACCACAACAGGTGTTGGCGAGGATGCGGGAAAAAGGAACCCTCTTACACTGTTGGTGGGAATGTAACTAGTACAACCACTCTGGAAAAAAATTTGGAGGCTACTTAAAAAGCTAAACATTGATCTACCATTTGATCCAGCAATACCACTCTTGGGGATATACCCAAAAGACTGTGACACAGGTTACTCCAGAGGCACCTGCACACCCATGTTTATTGCAGCACTTTTCACAATAGCCAAGTTATGGAAACAGCCAAGATGCCCCACCACCAACGAATGGATTAAGAAAATGTGGTATCTATACACAATGGAATTTTATGCAGCCATGAAGAAGAACGAAATGTTATCATTCGCTGGTAAATGGATGGAATTGGAGAACATCATTCTGAGTGAGGTTAGCCTGGCTCAAAAGACCAAAAATCGTATGTTCTCCCTCATATGTGGACATTAGATCAAGGGCAAACACAACAATGGGATTGGACTTTGAGCACATGATAAAAGCGAGAGCACACAAGGGAGATTTGAGGATAGGTAAGACACCTAAAAAATTAGCTAGCATTTGTTGCCCTTAACGCAGAGAAACTAAAGCAGATACCTTAAAAGCAACTGAGGCCAATAGGAAAAGGGGACCAGGAACTAGAGAAAAAGTGAGATAAAAAAGAATTAACCTAGAAGGTAACACACACGCACAGGAAATTAATGTGAGTCAACTCCCTGTATAGCTATCCTTATCTCAACCAGCAAAAACCCTTGTTTCCTTCCTATTATGGCTTATACTCTCTCTACAACAAAATTAGAAATAAGGGCAAAATAGTTTCTGCTGGGTATTGGGGGAGGGGGAGGGAGGGGGCAGAGTGGGTGGTAAGGGAGGGGGTGGGGGCAGGGGGGAGAAATGACCCAAGCCTTGTATGCACATATGAATAATAAAATAAATTAAAAAAACACCAGACTCCTGATCCTTCTACTTCAGCCTCCTGGGTGCTGGAATTATAGGCACGTGCCACCATGCCCAGCCTCCAGGCATTTTTTGTTAAAGAAGAAAAAGGCATAAAAATATTCTCCTATCTGATACATAGGGTAACACCCACCTGCTTTTTCTTGTTTTCAGAGAGATTGTCCATATCCTACCCAACTGGATCTTGTAAGGTTAAATGGAAAATCTTGTGAATCCAGTTCCTTCTACTTTGTAGGTAATAATTGAATTATGTACAACACACAATGTTGGTGCATAAATTTTAGGTCATTTTCCCTTTTCTAGATCATAAACATTGTACTGTTGATCTCATCTGGGATGAATCACAGGTTCTTGCAAATAGATGTTCAGTCAGGAGTTTTGTACTATGGACATTTGGTGAGATGGTGGAATAGTGTCTTTTTTCCCCCAAGGTAATGAGTTAGTTAGGTGCTCATTCTCCTTGATGTTACAGTCCAAGCAGGGGAGACAAATAGCTGACCTGACATGATAAATGACAGTGGACCTCCCACTTAGCCCCAGGTGCAGAGAGAGGGAAAGAAGGCATCACACAGGAGATGTGAATGCGTGGCAGACAGGCTTGGAAAAGCCACTCCTCTTGTTTTTTCCATGGTGCCTTAAAACAACCACAACCACTGTAGGCAGAGTTATATACTTGCTCTAACATGTGCTACTCACATTCTCTGTGTTGCATGTTGACCCCTGAGATGTTTTTTCCATAGACAAAAATGTTTTGCTTCCAACACAATATCTGTATTTTTCAAGTCATGGTATCCGGTTCACTTACTCAGTAGTTTCTTTTCTCCATCCTTCCAGGCTTATTTCTTACCATTTAGTACAGCATATCTGCCAGTGCCTGTGGTTTTACCAGCAGAAAAAGCAGTATCTATGAAAGAATTCATTTTAAAACAGCTTAATATTGTTCTCCATATCCTTTTCTAAAAAGCTCATTTTAAAATGGTCCATGTTTTTTAATGCCTTCTCCTTTTTGGTACTTTTTATCTTTTCTTTGGTCAGTGTGACAAATGGTGGGAAGACAACATTGGCTAAGAACTTGCAGAAATTCCTGCCAAACTGCAGTGTCATATCTCAGGATCACTTCTTCAAGGTAAGAATAAATCTTGGGATAATTAGCAAAAGATGTTTAATATGGCCAGGCATGGTGGTGCACGACTGAAATCTCTGCACTCAAGAGGCTGAGGCGGGGAGGATTGAGAGTTCAAGGCCAGTCTGAGCTACATAGCCAGACCCTGACTCAACCAAAGAAATTTTGATGGCAGTTAATTGAATTATGTCTCAAAAACATATTGAGTAAGGTGCCTTTTTTGTAGACTCAGTGTGATAATGGTATTTAGCCAGTAGAGGGCGCCATCCAGTGGTGCTGATCTTTGATCTTCATCTTGATGCAAAGCATTGATTAAAGACTTAATCCTCTTTAGAATTGCATGATTTCTTCCCTGCACACTGCTTTGATTGGCATCGTATTATTTTTTTCAGCCAGAATCTGAGATAGAAACAGATAAGAATGGATTTTTGCAGTATGATGGTAAGTAGATTAACTTGTAAAACGTGCTTGTGTTCACTTTCTTTTTCAAACCCAACAAACTTCACGCCCTATGAAGGCAGTCTTAAAATGAGTTTAAATATATTGCTATGCTTTAAACGTGCCTTTGTAGACTTCTGACTTATGTTCATGTATTTAAATAAATCAAGTATTTTCTCCAGTTTTATATTTCAAGCTGAGAACATTGGGATGATAGTTTTTTCTTCTGAAGCCAGGCTATCCCTGCCCTCAGCACATACTTAACTAACTGTACTTGCCCCTCCCCACCCCACCCTACCAGAGTATTTCACGTGGAGCAAACACAAAGCTTTCAGGCTGGCAGGTTTCTCATGTCCACAGTGCCTGGAGGCTTTTCTCTTTTCACTGCTTAGAAAGGCTTGAGAATGTCTTTCTGATGGATTTACCTCATTCCCTTGCCCCAAGGTAACACTGTTTTGCAGCCAAAGGATTAAAGTCCATCAGAAAGTATTTATTTTCCTGAAGAGAATATTGTGATAATATACTGCATTATATTTAATGGTCTTCTTAACTTTTGTTAAGAGTCAAATGAGGCACAACCACCAAGAGGTCATCCCTGTTCTGACTTTAAGCAGGGTTTATAAAGGCAAAAATCATGTTCAACAATCATTACGAAGCAAGGTAGCCCAGGTACAGAAGCGAAACAATGGCTGTTAGTTGCCATTGTGAAGCATAAGTGAACACAGTCAACACAACCATTTATCCACATCCCACTTTGGCTCCTTCTGTTTTCCTAGTGTCTATGGGAATCAGATTTTTCATAAACCCCTTTCAGCTTTAAACTAAGGTGGCACCTGATTAATGGCTTTTCTCCGGACATGGCTTTCCTCTGGCTAAGTCTTTTCACCATTTCACTTTCACAATTAACTGAGTAATCACTGAGTGTTTATACAGGTGAGCAACAGAGGGAGCACTCTTCAAAAGTCATGAAAGTATGTTCTTTATTTTTAACTTGGATAACCTTGTAGGAAAAATGTTATGTAACAGTTCTTACAGACACGTGACAGTTTTAAGAGAGAAGAATGCCTTAATACACTGCATTCTTACGTTGAGTTGTTGCCACTAGGAGGATAAACTTTCTCCCCTTGTTTTCTTGTCCAAAAGAAAGTGAGAAAGATTTTTACAAAGAAAGAGTGAAACCATAAAAAAAAAAAAAAAAAGTTTTCAACTATTGACAAAGAATTATTATTCCTACCTGTGGCACTGAAAGAGGCACAGAAGAGATAGGAGGGAGACAGCTCAGATACTGGCACAGGGCAAAGTGGAGTATCCAGCCAGCACCAGAAACCCACTACAGACTAGGGTTCTAGGAGGTTAGTGGGAGAAGTCCCAGGAACGTTTGCTGGGCAGGAAAATCTTCTGAGATAATGGATTAAAGGCAGGTCATTCTTCCAGGCCAAGTGGGGAGTTTCTAGTAAATGGCTAAGTGTGGATGTTTGTTATTCTTTAGGGCTGGGTAGAGAGTGATAATTATCTGATCATGACATGACCTCAGTAAAAAAAAAAAAAAAAAAAAACCACAGGCTAGCAGAGTGGCTCAAGTGATAGAGTGTCTGCCTAGCAAGCATGAGACCCCAAGTTCAAACCCCAGTGCCACCAAAAATTGATAAATAAAAATAAAACAAAAGCCCTTATGCACTGTAGGTGAAAGTATAAATTGATGAATCCTGTGTCTCAGAGACCTTAAGGTGGTTATGGCATGAGCTTGGGTATCCCTACGTAGCTCCAGGAAATATATCTCTAAGAAAAATTTGAACTTTTCATGTAAATGTGCAAATTAAAGTAAGTCAAACTGATGCCAACATCTTCATACCCACTAAAAGAATAGATTAAAAATCTGTGACTACCAAATTTGTAGAGAAAATGGGATCATTACAATATAGCTGATAAATAAAAAACAGCAATTAAAAAAGCCAAAGGGTAATTGACAAATAGACAAATATGGTGATAGATTTAAACCCAAATATATCAGTGGCTATATTTAGCTAAATGAACTAAAATACACTAAAGAGTGCCAGACTGAATTTCTCTTTAAAGCTTCTTAAAAGAGATAAGCCTACATGTGAGGAAACAGAAAGACAGACAGTTACTTGGTGTGGTGGCACATACCTGTGATCCAGCATTTGGGAGGTGGAGGCTAGAGGATCGAGGCTAAGTAAGCTTCAAGTCTGAGTATTTCTGTGGATAAAGAAGGATAAATTGGTCAATCAACAGGAAGGTAAAATGATCTTAAATTTATATGTACCTAGTAACATCAAAATACACTAAGTACAAATCGACAGAACTAAGTGGGAAAATGGACAAATCCATAACTTTTGTGGGGAATTTGGGTGAACTTCCTTTGTACAGTTATTTGCTAGAATTAACAAGTACCACATACTGGATGGCGCAAACAAAGAAATGTTTTTCTCATGGTTACAGAGGCTGAAAGTCTGAGATGAAGGTTTTGGCTGTGTTGGTTTCTTGAGGGTTGTGAGGGAGAAGCTGTTCCAGGCCTTTCTCTCCCCTAGCTTCTGGTTGTTTGCTGTCATCTTATCATCCTTGGCCTCTACTGCCTCACCCCGATCTCTGCTTCATCTTTGATTGGTGTTCTCCCTGTGTGTCTGTGTCCAAATTTCACCTTTCGTATGGAACTAGCAGAAGGCATTATTAATGTTATACTACTTAAACAGTGTAGTTAACAAACTTAATGAACATGCCTCAACAACAATAAGAAGACAGAGCTGTTTCTCAAAAGCATATGGAACGTTGGCTCAAATAGACAATATGCAAGGACATAAAGCAAGTCCTAGTAATTCTCAGTGGATTGAAGCAATTCAGAGATTCTGTGTAATCAAAGTGAGCTGAATGAGAGGTCAATATAAAAGGGTAAGTAGAAAATTCCCAAGTGTTTGAAAATTAAGTAGCACTTTTTAAAACTTTTTCTTAAAGAAAACTTCAAACAGAAGTGGACAGAAAAGTAAAATGAACTCTCATGAATTCAACACACAGCTTTAAAAATTATTAACCATTGACCAATTTTATTTCATCTATATCCTCACCCAGTTTCTCCTTCAGTATTTTAAAGCAAGTCCCAATCATCATTATATTTTATCAGAAGCAAAACACTTATATAGTCCATGGATCAAAAGATGAATCACAATGAAACAGAAAATGTTTTAACTGAATAATAACAAAAATTATCAGAACTCGTAGGGCTTCTAGTTGTAGCCAAGGTGAATCAGCCCCATCTCTCACTAGTCCTCCCTTACAATCAAAACCCCTGGACACAATACAACAAACAGCAAAGGTGAAAGATGAAAAGAAGACAGTGAGTTGACTAAGGACCTTGGTACTCAAGGAATGACATGACTGTGAGCTGTGAGTTTTCTTTTTGCCTCCCATATGTACAAGGATGGGGTGCAGGGGAGGTATGCAACATGGAACCATCAATACACAGAGACAAAAAAGTACCATGAAACCTGTTCCTATAATCAAAGGACCAGAAAAGGGTGGACTAGCGAAATAGAATATCTTTTAAATACTACCCATCCTACTCTAGCTAAACACAAAAGAAAAATCATACTCCCCTCATAGTGTTAGCAGGGCCAGGTGAGAAGATACACTTCTAGACCTACCCAGCACCAGCAGGGCAGGGTGGATTGACCTCTGCCTCATCCACAGAGGCCCCCACACCTGGCAAAAGAGGCAGAGTGAGGAGTGGAAAACTGAAATCCACACCCCCCCCCACCTGAACTTGCACACTACACCTCAGCAGAGTGACTGGCCACACCTGATTCTGCATACTACACCTCAATAGACTAAATGGCTACAAAAAAAAAAAAAAGATTAAATAGTATCTAGAGCCTTAAAGCAAATGAACTGAAGTTTCCAAGACAACTGAAAACCCTTTGTCATCAAGAACCAGGAAAATCTAACTTGAATGAGAAAAATACCAAGTCGCTTGATTACCAGTACCATGATGGTACAAATGTCAAAATTGTCTGACAAGGAAAAAGCACTGTCATAAAAAGGCTTCAACAAGCAATTACAAATATGCTTAGAATGGGAAAAATTAGAATGTCTCAGTAAAGAAATACTGGATGCAGTTGTTCATACCTAGCTTGTTGGGAGGCAGAGATTGGGAGGATTGTGGCTTAAGGCTAGACTAGCTGGAAGAGTTCACCAGACCCCATCTCAGTAAATAAAAGCTGGGCATGATGGCAGAAACCTGTCATCCCAGCTTATATAGGAGGTATAAATAGGAAGATCAAAGTCCAGTGCAACCTGGGCAAAAACACAAGATCTTACCCACAAAGTAACTAAAGCAAAAAGGCCTGGGGGCATGGTTGCAGTGTACAGAACCTGTCTAGCAAGCATGAGGCCCTGAGTTCAAACCTCAGCACTGCCAAAAAGAAAAAAAGGAAAAAGAAATACAAAATGTTAAAAAAGAACCAAGTAGAAATTTTGGAACTAAAAAATACAATTACAAATCTTAAAGCTCACTGGATGAGCTTAGTAGCAAAATAAATGTGACAGAAAATAGCCAGTGATCTTGGAAACAAAATAATAGAAATTACTCTGAACAACAGAGAGAAAACTGAAAAGAACAGAAATGTACAACAACAACAGAAGATTTATTATTCATATAATTGGAGTTTTAAAATAAGAAGAGAAAGTACCCAAAGAAGTAGTAGTGGAAAACCTCAAATTCAATATGAGACTTAAACTGATAGCTTCAAGAAACGAGTGACCTCCAAATGGGTTAGACAAAACTGATCAAATCAATCAAAAAAAGAGAGAAGGCACAAATTACAAATACAAAAGCAAGAAAGAAAATATGACTACAGATCCTACAGTTAATGAGATGAGGATTTTATGAACACTTACAAATTTTAAAACTTTGATGAAATTGCCAATTTCCAGGAAAAATAGCACTTACCAAAATTAACACCATAACAAAGAGAAAATCTAAATAGTCTGTGAATGAATCCATACTTTTAGAACCTTTTCAATAAAAAATCTCTGAACCCAGAGGATTTACTTCAGCAGTCCTGGACAGAGGTGGAGAATTTGCATTTCCAATATGCTTGCAGGTCTGATCTGAAGTCCACACTTTCAGACCAACTTTATAGGCTATTTTTCTAGAGTCACAGTTCTAAGCCCAAAAGGGATAGATACACATTTTAGAGTTTAAAATAACATTTGTGTCTGCTTGTGTCTCTTATAGAGCTCTTCGGATATTAAAAATACATTAGAGATATTTTTCACAGTTTGTCATTTATATTTCAGATTCATCTATATTTTGTCTTATTTCTTGTAGAGTCAGGAGAAGGTAGAAATGATAGATAAAGCAAAATTAGATATGGATCCATGATGGTCAAAGCTGGAAATAGAACGTGGGGTTCATTAAGCTTTATTATCTACATTTGTCCATGTTTGAATTTTTCCATGAGAGAAGTGTTTCAATACATTGTAAGAATTTTTGTAATGTCACAGTGTACCCCCAGTACAACAATAATAATAAAAAAATGTTTCAGACACACCAGTTTATCAATGTTTGATTTAGGTTGATTATCTAAAGTATGTGTTTATAAGAGGTCTTAAAGGGCAAATAAAGTGGTATTATTTTATACATATTAAAAGCCCTGGATATACCCTCATCACAAAAAGCTGCATCACATTTTTTTGTTGTATTGATTTCATGTTCCTATATGTTTATCTCAGTGCTTGAAGCGCTTAACATGGAACAAATGATGTCAGCTATTTCCTGCTGGATGGAAAGCCCAGGACACCCTGTGGGACCAACAGGCCAAGGAAGTGCTGGTGACATCCCCATTTTAATCATTGAAGGTTTCCTTCTTTTTAACTATAAGTAAGCATTTCCACTCTGATACTGTCCTGAGCCAACAGGGACCAGTCTTGTGAACTAAATGTGCTGCTATCTTAGGCCACTTGACACCATATGGAACAGAAGCTACTTTCTGACCATTCCATATGAGGAGTGTAAGAAGAGGAGGAGGTGAGTTTTGAAATCATCTTTTTGTTAGTTTTCAAAAGACAAAATGTAGGCAAAATGAAGAAAGCCTTATTACTACAGAAAAAAAAAAAAGCAAGCTTTAACTGTTTTACACAGGAGCACGTTTTCCTTAAACTGTCATCCATCTGGAATAATGCACAGTGCTTCTCTAAGAAAAGGGCCTTGTAGGGCAGGTCTGATGGTTTAATCCCAGCAAGTCAGAAAGGTGAGATCGGGAGGATTGCAGTTCAAGGCCAGTCTGGGCAAAATGTTAGCAAAACCCCGTCTCAACCAACAAGCTAGGCATGTGATGTATGCCCATCATCCCAGCTATGCAGGAGGCATAGGTAAGGTCCAAGGCTGGTCCAGGCAAAAACTTGAGACCCTATCTGAAAAATAACTAAAACAAAATAGGGATGGGAGTTTGGCTGAAATGGTAGAACACCTGCCTAGCAAGCTTGAGGCCCTTGTTCAAACTCCAGTACCACCAACACAAGAAAAGGGCCTCAAATGAACATATTCAACTCATTTTTTTCTAAATCCTCAAATGAAGTGATTCCATGGTGATAATGATTTTAAGTTAGTGGGTCTGTATTCTGTTAGGGCACAAAAAACACCAAGTAGTTAGTACTTAATCCATCCTTATCAGTGTCTCTATTACTGTTTACACTGATGCTTGACTATTAATTCTTTTATAAAACACTAGAGGGAGGAAAAAAATCATTCTGAATGGTAGTGAATTGTAAAGTTAATTTTTCAGTTGGAGAACTAAATTCATTTTATTGTCTTTGTAAGTGCCATGGAGTCTAAAACAAGTAGTCTTAAATCCTGTTTAGATTTCATCTTTGATTTTCTCAGTATCCTGGCTGTTAATCACTTTGCCTTATTAATTGTGTGTTTCTATCAATGTAAATTTTCCTCCCTGTTTTGGTAGTACAAGGGTCTATGAGCCTCCAGACCCCCCAGGGTACTTTGACAGCCATGTGTGGCCCATGTACCTGAAACACAGACAAGAAGTGGAGGATGACGTCACATGGGAGATTGGTAAGAGCCTTTCCTCACTCCATTCAAGACCTTTTCTTGACATTTGCCTCAAAGGATTTGGGACGTTTTTTTCTCATACAGAGAATTATAAATACACACTGCATGCAGGAACTCTCTGGGTTCCCTTCTTCCTCAGCCCTTTTTTTTTTTTTTTTGACAGTACTGGGGTTTGAACTCAAGGCTTCATGCTTGCTAGGCAGGCACTCTACCACTTGATCCATGTCACCAGCCTTTATTGCTCTGGTTGTTTTGGAGATAGGGTTTCACTTTTTTTGCCTGACTGGGCTTGGACCACAATCCTCCTATTTTATGCTTTTTGCTATAGCTGGATGACAGGCGTACACCACCACACCCATCTTTTTCCATTGAGATGGGGTCTCATGAAATTTTTGTTTTTTCTGGACTAATCAACTAATGTTGATTCTCCCAATCTCAGCCTCTGTGTAGCCGAAATGACAGTGGGCACCACCATGCCCAGCTATTGGTTCAGATGGGGTTTCACAAACTTGTTCTGCCTAGGCTGACCTCAAACCATGATCCTCTTGATCTCAGCCTCCTAAGTAGCTAGGATTACAGGCATGAGCCACCACTTCTGACTTCTTCCTCCATAACTTGTTCTGCTGCTTCTGTTTCTCTGTGGCTTCTGTCAAAACTTGTCAACTTCTAGATGGTTGTTCACCCACCCATCATTAACTGAATACCTTTCATGGAGATAGCAGGTGAGTAGAGTAGGGCAAACCCAGTGCCCACTCTGCTATTCTCATGCACCTAAAATTCTACCAGGAAGCAGCACTAAAGATGCAAGCTGTGCCAAGAGAGGTGGCTCATACCTAGAATCCCAGATAGCTACTCAGGAACTAGAGGTAGAATCATGGTTTTAGGCCAGCCCAGCAAAAAGTTAGTGAGACTCCATCTTAACAAACAAGTATGGTGATACACATCTGTAATCCTAGCTACACAGGAGGTATAAGTAGGAGGATCACAGTGTGAGGCCAGCCTAGGGAGAAGACCCCACCTCAAAAACAAATTAAAATGAAAAGGGCTGGAGGAATTGCTTAAGTGGTACAGTGCTTGCCTAGCAAGCATAAGGCCCTGTACCTCCAAAACTAAATAGACACAAGTTGCTCAAGCAGGTCTTCTCCCTAGAGTAAGTGCCCAAGTCCATTGTCCAGGAAGGCTTCCTCAAAGAGGCCACTTTTAAACCAATCTCTAATGAGTTTATCTGCAAAAAAGGAGGTTGGTTCCGGGTTCCCCTGCATTCTTCAATATGCAGTGTTTCTCTTCTCGCCTCTACAAATAAAATCTTTCTGACCTCTGCAAAAAAAAAAAAAAAAAAAAAAGGAGGTGGGTTATAAGGAATGAAGGACCACCCTGGACAGTGGGATGGACACATGAAAAGGCCTGGCACAGGAAGTTTTGAGCAGCACCCAAAAAAGACAGGTGCATTTGTGGTAGAGAAGACCAAGAGACAGAGTTGATGCAGGTGACCCAGGCAGGGGCCAAGAATCCAGGTCAGGACTTTAATCATATTCTGAAGTGGGATGCTCTCTACCGACAGGTTTTAAACAGGACGTGATTGAACAGATTCTCCTGTTAAGAGCCTGGGCTGTGTGGAGGGTGGATTTAGGGGGTGCAGCAGTGGACTCAGTGGAAGTAGGTGATGAAGTAGACATGGAGGGTCTAGGAGAATGAGGGGTCAAAGATGACAGATGCTTCAGGAACTAGCAGGAGTTATTCAGAAAACAAAGAAAAGTGCAGGACTTGCAGTGTGTGAGGGAGGGATGCAAGTCTGTTCTGCATGCAATGACATTGAGATGCCAGAGATGGAAATGGATGGGTTTGGAGGTCATGTGGGCCTGCCCTCAGAGGCCAGCACTGGAATACAGAGAAGATGGAATAAGGCAGAGGACTCAAAACTCACGTGCTTCCCAGAATAAAGGGGCCAGGTCTGTATCATGAGAGCCTGTGGTGGCCTCCACTGGGGTGGCTCTGTTGGAGCTGTGCACAATGCTCTGGCTTGGACAACTGGGTGCAGGGACCTCCTCTTAAAACCCTTTCTCCCCTTCCATCTAAAATGCAAATTTAACCACATTCCTGCCCGAACTCCCTTCTACAGTTTCCAGGTCTTTGGGACAAAACCTACATAGCCAGATACCAAGGCTCCTGAAGACTGAGGGCACCAGGGCTTCAGAATCTCACGTCTACACTCTTCCTGCCTCCCCTCCTACTAGCCATCCACATTTCTTAACAATACTCCCTTACTCTCTGATCTCCCTACCTGTGCTGTTTTCTTACTAGAAGCTCCTTTCTTCTTTTATCCCAAATAATTTCTACTTTTTCTCCAAAACTGCTCTGCCAATTTTATTAAAAATCTGTATCTTCTGAGAATTCTTATTCAGTACATTGGGACAGAGCCCAGACCATGCATGGTTTAAGAAGCATGAGTTGGAGAATTGCTCAAGTCACTCTGTGTCAGGCACCGTTCAGTCTCCTGAAGTGCCATGTGTACAGTGTCACTCCACTTTTCTTTCTTCCCTCTTTCCTTCTCTTTTATTTAAATAATGTTCAGACCAACTGGTGGGTTTCATTATAACAAACCAAACTTCTTGACATATTATCCCTGACTTTGATCTGCTTCTTTATTTGCTTTTTCTTTTTAGATTATGATTCTAGAGCCTTTGATTGAAAGTATTGGCATGTGCAAGAGATGCCAGATGCCCAAATAAGCATCCTTTATTAGCAAGCCTGTTAGGCATTTCAGCTGCCATTTTTCCCTCTTCTCAGTTTACCTAGATGGAACAAAATCTGAAGAGGCCCTCGTTTCACAAGTGTATGAAGATGTAATACAAGAACTAGCAAAGCACAAAGGTACGTATTATCCTATCAAAGTGGATGCTAGAGGAAGAGGAGCCAGGAAATAGTTCATTATATACCCCAGAATGCTAATGAGGAGTGATTGTATTTATTCATGCTTTGCTTTGAGAATAATTCAGATTTTGAGATTCAGTATGCATTTGGAAGACTTGATTATTTTGTTTGTCGGGTTTTTATAATTGTGAAAATATTTACCCTTTGCTTCAGCTCTTAGTGATATTTATGTTATTTAGTTTAAAATTTTAGTAGATGGCTGAGCCAATGGACCTGAAATTATCCTTTTGGCAGAGTGAAATTAAAATGCTGACTATTTTTTTTTTCATTTTTCTTTTATTATTCATATGTGCATACAAGGCTTGGTTTATTTCTCCCCCCTGCCCCCACCCCTTCCCTTACCACCCACCACCCCCTCCCGCTCCCCCCCTCAATACCCAAAATGCTGACTATTTTAATATACCTAGAGCTTCCCTTTTCCTTTATTCCCTTAAATGTTTTCCTTAAGATTTCTGTTTTGGAAATGCTTCAAAAATAAACACAAGATTTTAAACATTTCTTATTTTTTTGAGGTTTTCCTCTTAGAGTGCTCTTTTCATGAGAGAAAGGAATTCACCTAAATCTGGCATAAATAAAAAGAAGGCACAAAGGTGGTAGTGACTCAGGTTCTCCTGCATTAAGGAGCTCAAATAGTGTCCTCAGGGGTCTGCTGCAGTGAAGTCAGACTCTTAGCACAGTCATAATAATCTGTTGTCAGCATCCTTAGGTTCAGCAGGAGTGTTAAAGATAGCCCTTCCTTAAATGGATAAATGCTGGATCTGAGTGTTGAGTACAAGGAGATTCATATATTATTAAAGAATTTATTCATATGTATTAAGGGATTCATATGTTATTTATATGTTATTAAGGTATAGAATTCTTTACCTTAAGTAGTTTTTTGTTTTGTTTTTTTGTGTATGTGTGGTGCTGGCGATTGAACCCAGAGCCTCATGAATGCTAAGCACAAACTCTATGACTGACCCATATTCCCAGACACAAAAAAGGGTTTTTTTTAAATAATTTTCTATTTTGGCTCTGCTGAAAAGACCCAGGGAAGACTTAGATTGGTCCTTCTTAAATCACATGACTTGTTAAAGACGTCGCCATGGCAAGGGAGATGGCATACTCTATTTGGCTGTGACTAAGTCATCAATCACTGTATCTTATGATTAAAGACCCTATGTAAGACCTCTGATCTAAGGGCTGGTGGAGTGGCTCAAGTGATAGCGCACCTGCCTAGCAAGCCTAGCAAGCATGAGGCCCTGAGTTCAAGCCCCATTACCTCCAAAAAAGAGAGAAAAATTCACAAAAAGAAGGCAGGCAGCTAGTAGAAACTAGAAGAAGAAAAGTGAAAAAGCATGCTGGGAGGACATCTAGCTGCTGTTAGAGTTGAACCATATGAATTGAAATGATTACTCTGCTGGGCATGGTGATGCATATCTGTAATCCCAGAACTCAGGAGGATCTCAAGGCTAGCCTGAGCTTTATGACAAGACCCTGTCTTACCAAACAAACAAACAAAAAAGCCAGAGATTCTTGTGGCTAATACAGGCAAAATGCAATCTTAAAAATATTAGCTGGGTCAAGGTAAGACAGCATAAGGTACTCCAACAGTGAAGACCGTTACAATAGTTTGGTGAGAAGCCACTGCTGTAATTCAATGTCATGGATGTCTCAGTAAGAATTAGATAGCCTATGTCTTCAATAAATTCCTCCCTGACTAGGGGACTGAGCCCTGCCAGGCAGCCCATTGATCCTGAATGCTCCTGGTTTCAACATCAGCCCTTCATGTAGGCAAGATCCCCTTTGAAAAAAATTTTAGGACCATTTTAAAGTTTCTTCTTGCAAGTAGAACTAATAAACATCGCCAGATGCAACTGCCCACCCCTGCGATCTTTTAGTTTGATGGAAGGCAGGACTCCCATAGCAAAGCTCAAGGTACTAGCATGAGTGTGTGGAAAGTGGTAGGAGGAAACGAGGGTCCTAGCCTTCATGAATGTTAGCCTCTGAGCCAGAGCCACTCATCTGAGAGCCATCATCTCCCCTCTCTGGCCCCAGTGAGAGGCTTCCATGGGTGTTTCAGCTGCTGGACACCTGTACTTCTCTGTCTTCTCAATAATGGCCTGTGCACAGGTCCAGTCCTCCTTTAGTGATTTAAGTCATACATTAGAGTTAGCCGTGTGATCTATGTGCTGATAAAGATAAAGGGAGCGTTGGTTGTGTAGCTCAGGTAAATTGCACTGTATTCCATTCCAAATCCTGCCTTTGCCATCTGTTCCAAGGCCTAAGAATAGCTAGTATGTTCTGATGGGTGCCACAAGCCCACAAGAAAGTGCATCTCCACACCTGTGACTCCCTTTCCTCCTCCCTTACCTAAATCCTAGATGCAGGGAAAAAGTGTTCAATTATGCCACTTAAGGCTATTTGATTTATGCTCTAGATAATGGATAAAAATAAAAACGAAACAGAAAAAAAAAACTGGAAGAGACATAAAATTGGAAGCAAATCTGCTTTCACAAGCTTTATGGTAGTTTCTCTGTTGCATAAATAACTTACCATGTTATTTACTACTTATAGTAGTAGCCCATCACCTTTCCTAGTTCTTCCAGCCACAGTATTCTGGCAGAGCTGGCCGAAGGATCCTCAGCACAGCCTGGTTTAACCCTGAGTCTGGGCCTGAGCTGGCTGGGTGGCCTTTCTGCTGTTTAAAGCGATGACTCTTCAGGTTTGCTCTCATCTCGTAAGCCTGTCTAACTAACTGGCTAGCTTTTCATTCTAAGTATATAAGATCATAATTGTGATAAGGTAGTAATAGTGAAAGTGCATAAGGAAGACTGAATTTAATTATGAATGAAACAATAATAACCTGAGAAAGTAAGGCTTTGAAGTTATACACTTAATTCACTCCCAATTTAAATCTAAAGTTTGAAGTAAAATTTAATCACTACCTACTCTCAATACAATGAAGCAACCTAGTCCCTAGGAATACTGATGGTCTCTTTAAAAATGTTTATTTCTATCTCACTGTAAAAACATTATAACAAAACTTAATATAAAAGCAGAAGGGAAGAAGAAATTACCTGTGTTCACATCAGTTTCTCTTTCACAAGACTTTGGAAGAACATGGTTCATCAGCCATGCCTATTTCTATTTTTAAATTAATATTTAATATTTATGCACCTTTATAGGGTTTTCCATGTAACAAAGCTAAGTGTCATGGCCTTTAGAAGACCGAGGGCTGAGTTCTGTTTTGTACAGTGAAGTGAAATCTAAGACTTGACATTGACATTTAGTGCAGAAGAAAGATGTCACATGCCTAGTACCTAGAGGGGGGCGCTGTTTTCTTGTTCCCTCCCTTGTTGGAGCGAGAGTTCTCTCTCACTCCTGGTTATTACTAACCTAAGTGGGGCTAACTGGGGGCAACTGGAGAAAAGACACAGGATAGACAGACAGAAAGTGGGGTCAGGTGTGTTGAGTGCTCAGCTGGAACGTACAACCCTCATTGCTTCTTTTCTCTGTCTTTATTCTTTAAGGCCTTACTCCTTACAGTTCTTTAAAACCTTGCTTCTAAAGTCTTCTTTAAAACCTTGCTTAAAACCTCTTTTCCTTAGACTTACTCTGTCCCATGTTTTCTCTTAGCTGTTCCTTAACTTAATTGCTCTTAAAGTCTTTTGCCCCAGGCTTGCACTGTCCCATCTCTCTTTAGCTTTCTTAAAGCCTTGGTGCTCAGACTTGCAAGCAGCCATGCTTACAAACTGCACATGCATAACTCTTAAAGTCTCATTCCTTATACTTGCACTGTAAAGTTCTATCTTTGGGTTTTCTTTAGCTTAGCTTTTCTAAGGCCTATGTTAAAGTTCTTTCTTTGGCTTAGTTTTTCTAAAGCCTATGTTAAAGTTCTTGGCAGACTTCCTATCAACCCCTCTTTAACAGTCCTTTTCCCTTCAGCTTCCCACACCAAAAAGCCCCAAAGCAAAAAACAAAAGCTCCAAGCTCTCCTTCAGAGAGCCTCTTTATACACAGTGGTAAACAAGGTGGAGCTGTGGCCTGGGGGAGGGGCATGACATTGTAGCAGGAGAAACTTAGTTCCTGCTTCTCTGAACACAAACAACTTAGGAGAGGCAGCTGTTCTGCTTTTCCCTGTTTATGGCCAGGGCTGTGCCCATCTCAGCCTACAGATGAAAGCAATTAAGCTGCATCTCACCTTGCTTGTGTCCGGTTCTCATAGGCTTTTCATAATCCACTCTCCACAAGTACCAAATCAAGGCATATGAAATTAAAAAATAAAATTTTGATTGTCAAGTATTTGTATTTTTTCCTGTTGGTATTTTTCTACATTGAATTTAAAATATAATTTCTAGTTATCAAACAATAGTACTATAATTACTGTAATTGTCCACATTCACATATGATTGCACAGTGTTGGATAGTTTTGTCACAAGTGTTTTACCTTGATAAAATAACTGCTATAAAAATATCTGTACATGGTAGAGCACTTGTCTGACATGCATGAGGCCCTTCATTCAGTCCCTAGACCACAAACACACACACATACACACAAATAAGAGCAAAAGAAAGTCTACATGTTTTTGGCATTCTTTTTGAATGATATCCCTGAGGTAAATTCTCAGAAGTAGCACTCATTTAGTAAAAGGCTATAATCATTTTTGCATTTTACCTGTTCCAAAGATGAAATGCTACACTAAAAAATGTGTTTTCTCCAACATAAATTGTATAGTAAGAATATGGTAAGTTTTCCCTTGAGTTCCTAAGCCAAATCAAGTATTTAGCTAGGCATTCTTTATTTAAGAATGTAGATTAAAGGTAATGATACTTCTTTGCCCACATAGAGAATAACACTCCACAAAAGAATTTACTGTGTCCAGCCATCCTTTGTGATACTCTCCTAGTCTTCAAAGTATTTCCTTCCCTAAAGTCAAGGTTTATGATGAATATCTGATTTCTTAAGATGTGCTTAAAATTTGGTACAAGGTTTAAAAGAATGGGAGTTGTACCCAGTTTTGTTCTTTATGGGGAAAGTGGCATTTTTGGTCCTAGAATCCTTGTAATCTTAACATCCTTGGATTTACTGTTGCTCATGTGAAGATTTCATAAAATGAGATTAATTTCTTCCTCTTGAACGGAGGTGTGGCTCAAGTAGTAGAGCACTTTCCCGGTAAGTACAAGGCCCTGAATGCAAACCCCGGTACCACTAAAAAAATAATAATTTCTTTTTCTGTTTATTCCCAAGGTTTGCAAGAAACAGCATAAAGTTGGCACCAGTCAAATTTCTCCAGGATGAATTAGGAAGCTCAAAGAAATATACTTAAGAACATTAATCAGGATGCAGTAGTTACTGTGGTACAGTGATAGGTCTTGTTTTATCTGTTTATTTTTTTATCATACACAGTTTTCCCAGCAAGTGGAACAGTAAGTATCCATGCCAGTGGACAGGAACCTACCTGGATGACTTGCTGTCACTCCAGGGATGCTATAGATACAGTATGCTTATGAATAGTGAGTCAGTTCCTCTGTAACAGTGATTGTCACTTTTGTGACTGGGACCTAGCATAAGAAGTAAGGATTACATCACCATCCAGAATATATATAAGCCATTGAGTGTGTACAGTTGTATATCCAGGTGTGATATGTGTGTGTATGTATCTATACATTAGGCACTACAATACATTGACCTTATACATTATGCACTGTGATTTTTTTCTGTTTTTAATTTAATTAACACTGCTCGCCACCAGCAAATAATAGTAATGCCAGGAATAGTAGTCACATTGACTAAATCAATAACTTACTAAAGTCCCAGGAGTTTTGTGTGTTTTGTTGGTGGGAGGTTTCTTATTTGTCCATTGTATCTCTTATGTTGAGACTTTGCTACAAATAGAGCAATTTTCACGTTTTTTCTTTGTTTTTAAAATTAGTGGTTTAAAATCACAAAAATAAGCAGTTGCTTCAATTGTATATAACATCAGGTGCCTTTCTTTGAAAAGCATATGCAGGATATGGGAATTGTGTGACTTCTTGGTGCCTCTTTCAGTGCTGGAATATAAATTATATCCTGATCAACCATTTGTTTATTAATAACAGATTACCTATATTGCCTCAATCCTAATAAAATATTTTGTAACAATTACTCATTTGGACAATTCTCCTTATTTCTTTATTTCTAACTACTTTGTTAGATAATTGGGAAGTTCTTTGGGTCCCACGCACTACACAAAATACAAAACAAACAAAATCTAGACTTGAGTTACAGTTCATCCACTTATCAGCTATACGACTTCATTCTTAACTAAGAATAAAGTTGGAAACCTTATGGAGCCTCGAAGGCTTTCTTTGATCTGGCTTCTGTGCACCCTCATTTCCCATCAGAGCTGGGCCATGAGGTCATGTCATGAATCACTCATTGCCTTGGAGTGTTGCCACAGGACAAAATGAAGGACTTTTTAGCAAGGAAGGAGAGGAAATAGGGAAGCAACTGAAAGTGTCCACCACAACTTTTTCTGCACATCTTCCCTGGCCATGGCTTTATCAAGCTTAAGTTTTTATGATTTGCAGGAGATTTTTTGCAGTTGTTTTTAGGTTAAAAACTTAATGTACATATGATTATTCAAACTTCATTTCTAAAAGTTTCTGAAATGCTCCTTTCCCTCCCACTGCCCCTATAGAAGTGTGTCACCCCATGGAGAGTCATTGTACTTGATTTTTTTCCTTGTTGCAACTTGTGAAAATAATAGTTCAGAAAAGTGCTGGGTTCCTGTGGCTCACACCTGTAATCCTAGCTACTCAGAAGGCAGAGATCAGGAGGATCATGGTTTAAAGCCAGCCGAGGCAAATAGTTCACAAGACCCCATCTTGGAAAAAAAAAAAAACCCAACACAAAACAGGGCTGGTGGAGTGACTTAAGGTGCAGGCCCTCAGTTCAAACCACAGCATCACAAAAAAAGAAAAAAAAAAGAACACACATCTGCCTTCATGAGGGTAAAAACCCTGAACAACAGAAATAAAGTGGAACCATTCAAACAATTTTGGTAAGACATAAGTATATTTTTTGCTTACTATTATCAGTGAGAGTTAAATTAGGAAATAAGGAATGCCAGTCCTCCACTTCTGTACTGTTTCATGCCACTGTTACTCTTATCAAAGCATTAATGGTGTTGTAGAATCTACTTAGAAAGATACCATCAGTGCCTTCTTGGCACAGCAAGCAGCGTGTCAGTCTCATAGAAAGGTAGCATCAGTATTTGACAAGGAGGAGGTCATCTGGAGTCTTCACTTTCCCAATCCCTTCAGGATGAATTTTGCCATAGAAAGGCTTCATAGCATTTAGTATTAAACATGGGGGGGGGGGAAGACTTAAAACACACACATATCATTGTGCTAAAGGTTGACATTTAAGTGCACAGACCATTACAATAATGGATGAGATCCAAAACCACCAGCTTACCTTTTAAGGACAAGCTTGTGATATTACCCACTATCATAAAATATTGGAGTGGTATTCACTGCTCCAACGCTGTTTCCCAGTGCAGAAATCGAAACCTGTCCAACACTATGCAGCTAGATAGTGGTGGGACCGGAGCCAGGTCATAATCTCAACATCACACAGACATGAACACATACTTTTTTTCATTTTAGATCAAAGAACCTCAGAAAAATAGCCTTCCAGGATATATCATCTCTCTCTCCCTCCCTCCCTGTCTTGAAGGGAGCAAGTCAAGGGACCTGGAAAGGCCAGAGCTGTGTCAGGGAAAATGAAGCTTTCTGTTCTGGATTTTTGGAGCCTAGTCAGGGAGGCAAGCCAGCTGATGAGGTAAGCCATGAGGCATGGAGCAGTGGTGAGCTCCTAGAAGCTCCACGACAGCCTGACTATGCTGACCTCAGTTTGTGGCTCTAGCTGTTCTTTTAGTCTCCCTCGATGGAGGAGAGCTTAGAAAAAATCACTATATGGACAAGGCTCTTCACTTCTGTTTGCACACACAGAAATAGATAAAAATCACTGTATCTGCTTTGGAGATCCAATCAGGGTGGCATGACCTACAGATGAAAAAACATCAAAAACAAAATGTCGTACCAAAGCAGGTATATCTGATGGGTTCATTCCCATGAGTTCAGAAACATCGTTGCAAAAAAAGAGCATTATAATGTGCTCTACTTCCAGATGCTAGAGAAGTTAGTGGTCTTCTTCAAGATTAAAAATAAAGACTATTGCAGATGTCATTAGTTAAGGTGAGGCCATAGTGGATTAGGATAGGCCGAATTTCCTTATAAGAAGAGGAGAGAACGCAGAGAGACACACAGAAAGAAGACCATGTGAAGCTAGCCAAGACTGGTGGATGCATCTGAAAGCCAAGGAATGCTAAGGAATATCAGAAGCTGCCAGAAATGGGAAAGAGGCAAGGAAAGATTCCTTCCAAACTGGGAGAAGCATAAATCTCTGCAGTGGTGAGTCGCTCAGTTTGTCATCTCTCTGAAAAATCAAAATGGGACATTAGGGAAGGGCCTTTCCCATAGGGCCCATTGCAGTATGCTTTCTCTTTCGAGGTTGTAGTAAGAGGTGGTCAACCACAGTCCAAAGATAATAAGTGTAAAATTCCAGAAGTAAGAAATTCATAATTTTACAAAATAGAGACCAAAACTCGAGAAGACATCCCTATTGCCTTTTCCCATCAAGCTGACACAAGCACATTCTTGACACACCCTGCTTTTCACAGTATTACCCAAACCTTAGTGTACATCAGCAGAATCTCTTGGAAGACCTGTTAAAACACACATTGCTGGTCCCCAGTCCCAGAGTTTTTGATTCTGTAGGTTTGGGGTGGGGTCTTGGGACTGTCATTTCTAACACATTCCTAGGTGATGTTGGCACTGATGCCACAGGTACAAAACTTTCAGAATTGGTACTCTAAAGTGAGCAGCTTGCAGACCCAGAAGAGCCCACAGCGAACAGTTACGTAGGCACTAAGAGCAAGAAATTACCAGTATTTGCCTCTAAAGATATTTCAGAATCACACTTGTGCACACTTGTGTCGATTTTACTGACTTTTAGTTCCAAATCCTACCTTTTTTGCCTCATGTCTGAAAATGAATCTGGACCCTGTATTTTTCTTTTGCCAAGTTGCGTGTTAAGCTTTGCCTCTAGAGGGCGCGGGAGAGACAGCAGGAGGAAAGGTTTTGCTTTGGGATTCCTATGTGCTGCTTGCCAAGGCACCTGCAGCAAGCATGGTTTCTCCAGGTCTCAGTTCCTAGGCACATGGCAGTCAGTAGCACCGAGAGATGAGCCGCTGTAGTGGAGTGCCTCTGCAGAACACCTCTCCAGGAGCAGCTTTTCATGGCACCCTAAGAAGGTGGGTTTCTCCAAAAACTCCAGAAAATGAGTTTCTAACAAGTTTTGCCAGCATGTCCTTCGAACTACTTCTGTGCTATTCAGTGAGCCATGACAATGGCCCTCTCCAAGGTCTGTCGTCCTTACTGCAGGAAGGGGAGCAGCCAGGGAGAGACTCCTCCACAAGCAAGTCTTTTCCTTATTATGCTTCATTAGCGTTCTTTGTACAAGTTAGTCCTTTGTTTAGATTTTATTTATATAATAAGTAACTAATTACATTTATTAAATAATTTTTGTGTATTTTTTTACATTTTACCCATATTAAACATATAAACATATGTAAAATATTTTGTGCATTTACATTTTTATAATCTATTATTTATTTATATAAATACAGCTGTTTATTAGAGTTCTAAAATTAATTATATCTATGTAAAAAATTTACATAATTCCTTATATTAAACTTTTCCTGGTCCTTTTATTGCGTGTCTGTTCTCCACTGACTGAGCTCACACTGATACAAATATTGGGTGTTCTGTTCAACTGACTTACAGAAGATGGAGGTGGGCAACTGTGTAGCTGCTTTTTCTTTTTTTCTGTTTTTTTTTTTTTTTGTAGTTTTGCCATTTCTTATTTCTGGGATACCATGCATATACCATTTGCCTACAGGAAAACAATGTTTTGGCCAATCAAAAGTGCCACAGCAAAGATGGGATGTAGCTCAGTGGTAAAGAGCTTGCCTGGCATATGAGGCCCTCGGTTTGATTCCCAGTACTGAAAGAAAAAAAAAGTGCCACAGACTGTAATCCTGAATTGTGTGACTTTTACAGTAACTTTTATATATCAAACACTATATAGGTTTCCTAAGGACAGCAGGGATAATCCTCTCTCTCTCTCTCTCTCTCTCTCTCTCTCTCTCTCTCTCTCTCTCTCTTTCTCTCATCTGTCATTAGTATACAAAGGGGTTTCATTGTGATATTTCCATACCTACATGCAATGTACTTTGATCAAATTCACCCTCTCTGTTACTCCTTCTTATTCCCCCTTTTAAAACAATTTTCATGAGTTTCATTATTCTATTTACATACATGTGTATAAAATACTTTAATCATATTCACCCCCCAACTGACAGGGAGGTGGGTTTTTTGTGTCTAAGATTTCAGGTTAATGTTTTTCATTTTTATTAGGACATACTCATTGCATAGGGGGATTCATTGTGACAGTTTTGAATAGGCTTACACTGTACATTGGTTAGATCATCCCCACCATTTCCCCCACCTCAACCCTCTCCCAGCCCCACTTAAAGCAATTATGAGAGGTTTTGTCATTCTATTTCATATATGTATATGAAGTCCATCAACCATATTCCCTCACTTTAATCACCTTCATTTACCCTCCTCACGCTAACAAGTACCCCCCACACACACACACATACACACTCTATCAGGTTAATTTTTAAATGTCTTAAATGACTTTCCTTATTTATTTTTCTTTTTTCTTTTTTTTTTTTTTTTTTTTGTTGTTGGTAGTAGGGATTGAACCCAGGGTCTCACACATGCTAGGCAAGCCACACCCCAGTCCTGACTTGCCATTTTATTTTTTTTCTTTAAATTTTATTTTGTTTTTACATTTACTTACATGTGTATACATTGTTTTGCCCACGTCCCCCTTCCCTCCTCCTCTGGGCAGAACCTGTTCTGCCATCTTGTTCTTCATTTTTATTGAAGAAAAAACATATAAGAAAAACAATGTTTTTGCTAGTTTGAGATGAAGATAGCTGTACAGAGAGAGATTCC